CTCTAAGAGAGCCTATCTATAATCTGCCAGAACTGGTTTCAACTATTGCTCAAACTAGGGTCTCAATCAATCGCATAGAAAAGTTTGTTGGGAAGGAAGATAAGAGGGAGTACGAACCTTGTGTTCATTCCTCATCTGAAGCCATTGCAGTGAAAATTGAGCCAGGGGAACATGCCTGGAGTAGCACAAATGATGAAGACGAATTAGCGAGGCCTAAATTGAAAATCACTGGCAGATTTGAGGTACTGAGAGGGCAAAAAGTTGCTGTTTGTGGGACGGTTGGATCAGGGAAATCAAGTCTTCTTTGTAGCATACTTGGGGAGATTCCATTGATTTCTGGTATTGCAACTAAAGTTTATGGAACAAAGGCTTATGTTGCACAGAGCCCTTGGATTCAAACAGGTACTGTAAAAGAGAATATATTGTTTGGCAAGGAGATGAATCAAGGGTTTTACCACGACGTTTTGGAAAGATGTGCTTTGAAACGAGATATCGAGATGTGGGTTGATGGAGATATGAGTGTGGTAGGCGAAAGGGGGATGAACTTAAGTGGAGGACAAAAGCAGAGAATTCAACTAGCCAGGGCCGTTTATAGTGATTCAGATGTATATATATTAGATGATCCTTTCAGTGCTGTTGATGCACACACCGGAGCACATCTCTTCAAGGCAAGCAGCAATACACATATGTATGTATACTTCATATTTCCTTGCTTTTCTTTCTTCTTCTACTCATTTTACATGTTTAAAAATTGTTGCAGAAATGTCTGGTGGAATTCATGGCTTGTAAGACTGTTATTTACACTACTCATCAATTAGAGTTTTTAACTGCGGCAGACATTGTTTTGGTATGTATCTAAAGATTGAAGAAACATCATCATTGTGTTTTGCCATGGCCGTCATCTCTTAAATCTTAAATTCATTTGTTTCAGGTGATGAAGGATGGAATAATTGTTCAATCTGGAAAATATGAAGATTTGGTTGCTGATCCCAACGGTGAACTTGTTAGACAGACGATGGCTCGTACAAAATCCTTAAACCAAGTGAATACAACCCAAGAAGATGATTTAGCTGGTGGAGTTCCACGTTTCCAAAATCAAACTGAAAACTGGAAAGGAAAGTCTGAAGATGCGAATGGCAATGGCAAGTACTCCCATGATCGAAAAGAGGAAACAGAATCAGGTCGAGTAAAATGGAAGGTATACTCAACCTTTGTTACTTGTGCTTATAAAGGAGCACTTATTCCTTTTCTTCTTCTCTGTCAAGTCCTCTTTCAAGGACTGCAAATGGGTAGCAACTACTGGATTGCTTGGGCAACTGGAAACAAAATCCAGGGCCACCAAAGAGCAACTAATACGAATGTTCGTTTTTTTGTCTGCTGGGAGCTCGTTTTTCATATTGGGACGAGCACTTTTGCTAGCAACCATTGCAATAAAAACTGCCCAAAAGCTTTTCCTTGGCATGATTAAAATCAGTTTTTAGAGCACCAATTTTCATTCTTCGATACTACTCCATCAAGCCGAATCCTCAGCAGGGTTAGTTCTTTTACCAAACATTTTCCAATTTGTTCTAATATTAATAATGCTTATGTTTTGTCTTTTTGTTATGCTTTAATCAAGCAGTGATCAGAGCACAAGTAGATACAGATATTCCATACAGATTTACAGACTGATTTTCGCATTAATCAGCTAATAAGTGTCATGTTGCTCATGTCATATGTTGCCTGGCAGTTTTTCCACTCTTTATCGCCATCCTT